TGATGTTTCCGTTTCCGTTTCTGTTGCTGTTGTAGGCGAACTTGATGATTTTAAATTGGAAGAATCACATCTTCCAAATGATGATTGACATCCGCTTTTGCAATATTCTGTTATATATATTTGATAAAATAAAGAAATGATTAAATTATAAAACATGATGAAAAAAAAAAAAATATAATTTTAAATTTATTCTTACTTGAAGTACTACCACAATGACCTGATTTAGAACAACATAGATTATTGCGGCATGTAGCATTTCCATGATTCGGGCCACATAAACTGTCAACCGAAATTGATGGAGTAGGTTTATTAGTTTTGGTCACACAAGGCTTTGTGTGGGTTTTAACAAACGTATTGCATCTACCAAAATTAGGTTGACACCCTCTTCCGCAATGTGCTAAAATAAAATTTAAAATTTTTATAAATCAAAATTAAATAATAAAAATTAAATTAAATAAGAAAAAAATTAAAACTCACCGCCTGTTCCGCAAACTCCCTTTCGAGAGCAACAAGTATCACCTGGACATTTGGCATTTTTAAAATTTGGTCCACATCTGATCGCTAATGCAACATTTAGTAAACTTAATATTATAAAGAAAAGTATTATGTATCGAAGAGTTGACATTTTTTTAAAATATATATATATATTTTTAATTGTATGAAATGTATATTCTATTATGCAAATGTAAAATTTTTTTTAAAAGAATGTTTTGAAATTTGAAAAAATTATATCTAATGCTTTTTCCGTATATAAAAATGTAATGAATCTATAAATCAATTATAGATTGCGAGAAAAAAAAAAAAAAATTCTATGTGATATCTATAAATCAATTATAGTATGAGGTTTCATTTTTTCAGGTAACCAGTGCTTATATGTATTTTCGAAATCAAAATTCATAATCGTTGTATATAATAATTTCTATGCATTCAACGCTGAAACTAAGAGAAAAAAAATAAAACTACTAATATTATGAATGAAACTAATCAAACTTGCTTGTACTAATTATCACACAATTCATTTCATAAGGAAATTTTATCTGAATGAATTTTTATTGTTCGTTGCCAGTTCTTTTCGATAATCAAAATATTACCTTGTTTGAGTCTCTTTTTACTTATTATGGTAATTGTTTATTATACTTTTTTTTTGAATTTATTTTTAGATATAAACAATAAAAAATTTCGTCTTTATTTACTTTCCCACATTGCTTTTTTCGGACATTATTGGGGTAATAAGGATAAAATTTGTTTCATATGTTTCACATGAATTCTTTTTTTAGAAATCTATTATCTTAGATCTTACTTTTATTTATCTGCAACCACGATTCGATTACTGCATTACTGATTTTTGCAAATTATTTAAACATTTTTTACTTATCAGAGTTTTCATTTAAAAAAAAATTCAAATCATTTGTTATTTGATCCTTATTTTTTATAAGGAAAACAGTTTTATTTATCTTTAACAAAGAGTAAGAATATCTTTAAATTCCTTAAACAATGTCAGTCAAATATTGATCAAGTGTATTTTAAGTATCATCAGCATTTTTTGTCTGTATTGATGTAAATGTTTGATACAATACATCATATAAAATACGTAAAAAAAGATATTTTTATTAAATAAAAATAGATAATTAATTTAAAAATAAATATTTATGTCTGTTCTTGATATCGATTTTTGTTATCAAGGGTTGACGGAATGCATGATGAATGATTTTATTGAAACATGTGGAGTTAAATACCAATACAAGTCAGAGAAAGTAATAGATCATCACTTATACTATAATATATGCATTACCCAAATAGGCTATTAATTATTTAAATTAGCTATATGCTATATTACGCAATAACAGAATAGGAATAAATGATTTAAATTAGCTGTATGCTGTATTACGTGATAACAAAATAAGAATAAATGAACAAAAAATACTTCCAAAACTACAAAGAGAATAAAGAAAGTTATCTTATCGTATGCAGCCAAAACGGGATACATTTTAGTTTTCTCACGTTCTTATAATTTATTACGTAATCATATTTTTTTTTTCTATTGTATATCGCAATTAATAGAATAATTTATGCAACATTTATTAATATCATAAGAGTTTTTTTTTTAAAAAAAAACGTTAATATTATCCCTTAAACGGTAATCATGTGAATTTCGGCAAATTTGCCCGCATTTATTAGTAACTTGTGACGTCAATACCGTTTAAGGGATAATATCGTTTAATTATTACTCAAGGTTTTGTGGGCAAATTTGCTCGCAATTTATAATTAATTTAATGAAAATTTTTATAAAAAATTTCTTTTAAAATCTCGAAAATTAATATCGATTGTTGCTACATATATTAGTCTTTTACTTGCTAATAAAACATCGAAAATTCTAATAATGAACCTTAAAGTTAAGAAAGCGTTGTATCGGCTGTAAAATTTACACGTCTGTTACTTTAAATTTGACCAAATGAGAAGTATTTAAATTTTAAATTATTGTAAAAAATTCGAGCATCATTATTTGTTCAATTTTAAAGTAATAGATGTAATTCTTTCTTAACTTTGAGGTTACTTAATAATATTTTTGATGTTATATTTGTAAATAAAAGACTTGTATATATAGCAACATTTGACACTTTTAAAAAAAAATATATATATTTTTTATTTGCTCTTATTTAAAGTTGAAATGCTACTTTATAATCATTAAAATGATATAGTTAATATTTTTTCTCATGATAAATTTTACATTTTCTATATTAATTTAGCTAGTTATGATCAATTTTCGAGGAGATAATTAAAGATAAATATAAATCGGCATTTTATTAAAAAATAGTCAATTTTCAAACGCGAAAATTAATTATAATTCGAAGAGGATCCTCATTCATGATTCTTGTGACAAAATGGAGATGACAAATGTTAGATGACAAATGTTAGATGAAATATGGACGTTAAAAAAATTCCAAGTCCCCAGGATACTTAATAAAAATAGATATTCGGAAGGCCTGTGTCACAGGTTAAGATTTTCCTAATTCGAAAGTTTGAAGTTTGATCACGTGTTATAATGATCAACTATTCATGATAAAATTTCATTGCACATAACGTTTTATATGTAAGATAATTAAAGAATAATTGTGGACAAATTTGCCCGGAATTGCTTACCGTTTAAAATATTAAAATCATGCATTAATATTATAGTGAGTTTCTTAAATAAAAAGCTTAATATGAGTAAATGATATAAAATTACGTCCAACAATTCCCTTTGCTCACCTAAATATTTTGGGACACAAGTTTAAATTTACGTAATAATATATATGAAAGATTGTCATAACTGTTAAAGAATAAAACAATTATCCTAAAGATAATAAAATTTTTTTTTCATTAGATTCAGAAATTTCTTATTCACATTTATATAGGTAATATAGATATATAGTTTTTTTTTATTATTATTTTAGAATGTTTATTTTTTTAGCATATTCGCTGGTTTTGAATGCTTTATATTTTTTTTTGTTAAGAATGCTTCAAATTTTTTGTAATTTGGTTCAGAAAAAATATAAATAAATAATATAGAAAAATACACAAGTATATATAATTTTAAGAATTCAAGAACCATAAAAAATTTTTAATTATAAAAATATGAATGAGAATTAAAAAAAAAAAATGATACTATTTTGAATTTAAAAAATGACTCGTTTGAGAATCATTTAAAATTTAAAAAAGTCACCATAATAATTAAAAAAAACCGACAGTTTATTATTATAATATTAACTGAACCACTAATTTAGTGAGATCGAAAATATCAACTTTCGCTAGGGGTAGAAGTATGGAAGTGCAAGAGATATAAAAGTGAAAGGGGATCAACATCTTAATATGAAACTGGAAATTAATCTAATTACCTATTTTATTACTGATATTTAAAATTTTTTATCAAAGAAAATTGATAATTCGTGAAAAGATCATTGCCTAACTTAGAACTTTTCATTTAAATAAGTTAATAAAAATCGAAAGATGAACATCTAATACATTTAATTCGCGCGAACCAATGGAACAAAGTTTATAAGAATTCTAGAATTCTGGCTTTCTTAGTTGGATTCTATTTTAAATGGTTAATAATTCTTACGTGTAAGAAATAATTAATTATAAAAGAGGTTGAGAATATTCAAAAAAAAATTTATTCTCACATTCATCGACAATATCAATAGCAATGAATAAATTAAAATATTTCATCCTTCTTTTCACCATCTTGACGCTCCTCAATATATCAACCACCTTTGCGAATCAATATAAACATACTGTAATCTACACTACAACAGTGACAACTAAATGTCCTCCAAAAACTACAAGAACTCGGAAAACATTGAAAACTTCATGTTCTCCAAAACCTACAACTCCGAAAACATCG